TGCAGAGAAAAGGTGGACGGCTGGGCTCAAGCTCCTCCACCAAGCACCTTCGCAGCCTTCTTCGCAGCCCTCGCTCTTCCTCCCCCGCGGGCAGGAAGGGGCTGAGCGCTGCCCGGCCCGCGCAGGATGTGCCGTGAGATGGAGGTGCCAAAAAGGGGATGCTTCGCCCCGTACAGGTCACATCCCACCCTCAGGTATTTTCAGGATGGGAGAAAAGGTTCGTGCTCACCCAAAGGTGCTGCCTGCCCCCCCCCCCTTGCACCCCTGCCAAAGCCACATGTGTGGGTCTATAGGGGTCCCTGGGCATCCCTCTGCAGATATACGGTCCTTTATGGTCACAGGCGCTTGTCTGGGTGCACATCCCCGTGAATTTATGTAGCCCTGTGCATGCACATCCACACACAGCCTTAGCTGGGATGAGCAGCAACAGGCTCTGTGGCTGGGCTGAGCTTAAATAGGTCCTGTGGGTGTTGGGACACCCCAGGTGAGGTCATTAAGCCTTATTAGTGCCCCACTAATTAATTCTCCCTGGAAAGTTCCTTGTGGTTAGGTTGGTGTTCAGCCGTGACACTGCTTTGGCAGAGGGTTGGGGTGTAAAATGTTGGCACCGTGGCTGGCACCTCCTTTTGCAGCCGCCAGCCTCCTCTTGATGGGGGGCACCCAAAGTGTGCTTGTGTCCCCCCCAGCACCCAGGGTGCTGCAGCAGCACCCGAAAGCAGCCGGCTCCAGCTGCTCCCCTAAATCAAGGTGGTTTTTGCCTCGTGAATAATAAACCCCCTGTGCCAGTGTGGGCACAGCATCTCTCCGGTGCTGGGGGGTGGGGGGGACTCAGCTCACGTGTGCTCCTCGAGGAGGCTGTTTTCCTGGTGATTACATCGGTTAATCATGGGGTAATTAAATCCAGGAGCTATTTCATGGCTTTATATTCATAATTTATAGCGTCAGGATCCAGAATAGAGCTACACTTCTATACCAGCACTTGATGGGATTAACCCACGGGAGGAGGGTGCTGGCGATTCCTGCAACCTCAAAGCCCCCCCAGACCCTCATGAGATAACGAACCCTGTTGCCGCAGTTTGTGCCCCAAAGGGATGCAGGTGCCGCCAGCGCTGCTGAATCCAGCGCCACCCCAGCAGCTGGGCTTTCATTTTTTGGCTCTTTTTTTCCTTCTCTTTTTCCTTTTTCTCCTTCTCCTTTTCTTTCTTCTAATTCTTCTTTTCCTTTTCCTCCATCGCCTTCTCCTTTTCCTCCTTCTCCTTTTCCTTCTTCTTTTCCTTCTCCTTTTCTGTTTCCTTCTCCTTTTCCTTCTTTTCCTTTTCCAGCAGCTGACAGCACTGGGCTTTGCACACTGGCTGAGCCCTGATGCCTTTCAGTGCACTGATGGCCACTATCACCCCAGTGACGTCTTTCAACCTCAATAATTCCCCTTTTCCTCCAGCATCTCTTCCATGGGATGAAAAAATAAACCCCGACTGAGGCAGAAGCTTTCCCTCGCACTCCTGTTGGAGCAGAGCCCCGCAGGGGCCAAATCCCTCCCAGGGTTGGATGCTCAGCTCCCCCCCGAGAGCCTGAAATTCAATATATTCCCAGCCAGGTGAGCAGAGGTGATGGCAAGTCCAGGCAAGCTGGACTGTGCACACAGCCGCCACGTGCAAGGGGAAACTGAGGCAGGACACACACACACACACACACACACAGCTCCAGACCCCCCCATTCTGCTTAAATAGAAACCGGAGCCAGGAATAGAAACCCAAATGGGGTTTTTTGTTGTTGTTTTTTTTGCTCTTTTTCATTAAATCACGTTATTATTAAGTAGAAAGCGGATGTGTTCCTGGAACAAAAGGGTTAATATCACCCTCAGATTCCTTCACCCCTTTTCTAGCCCTGGGGGGGGGACAGGAGCCAGATGCCCCCCCTGACCTCCCCCTGCTTCTGCTTTCTCCGGCTGTTGGCCCAAAATGAGTCACCGGGGGATTTTTCTTTTTTTTTTGGGGCTCTTTCACAAGCTGGCTGGGGGGGGGGGGGACTGTCGGGGGGGCTGCTATGGGGTTGCGCACCCATGGGTGCTCTCCAGCAGCCCCCAGTCCGGCCCCTGCCATCCCCCACTTATGGACGGCTTTGGTCCCATGGGACTGGGATGTCCAAGTTGGGGACAAGGGACACTGTCCCTGGAAAGTGGTACCCAATGCCCAAGCGATGCTGGGAGCTCAGTCCCAGTTTGCAGGATGGTGCCCAGCCCAGGGGACACCAGTGGCTCGATCCCAGTTTGAAGGATGGTGCCCAGACCAGGGGACACCAGGGGCTCAGTCCCAGTTTGCAGGATGATGCCCAGCCCCAGGGGACACCAGTGGCTCGATCCCAGTTTGCAGGATGGTGCCCAGCAAAGCCACCCTCAGGGGGGGACCAGGACCACGACCCCACAGGCGTCCCGGCCCCCGGGACCCGACCGTGTCCCCAGACCCCCGGGGGCCGGCCGGCACCGCGGCCGCATCGCCAGCTCTGGATTGGGGCGGCGGGGCTGAGCGGGGGGGGTCGGACTGGAAAGTCCGGCACAGTCATTCAGCGCGGTGCTGGGCTGCCCCTGGGTGAGAACCCCCAAAAAAGCCCGTCCGTTCCGGTAACGAAAGAGTCAATGGCACACGCAAACCCCCACTCACACACACAGGCACACGCCACTTCCCCGAGTGGGGGATGACTCATCCCCCAGCCCGTCATCCCCAGTACCGTAACACCAGCAAACCACAGAGCTCTTCCTCCGGCCGCGCCGATGAGCCGCCCGGCCTTCGCCTCCTGAGCCCGTGAGTACCAGGGGTCCCTGGGGCTGGGGTCGGGGTGGGGGGGGTCCCCCCATCAGCCGCCACGAGCCGCGCGTCACCCCGTCTCCATCCCATCCCGCCGCCGCCCGGCTGAGACCGGCCGAACTCGGCGCATGCCACGGCGGCAAGTCCGGGGAAAACCGTCCGGTTGGATGGGAATCCCAAACCCGCGGGAGAAAGCGGGGTGGGGGGGTGGGGGGGATCCACCCCAACTCCCCGGGGACACCCTCACCCGTGACCATCCCCGCCTGCCCCAAACCCCTTCCCCAGCCTTCTCCCGCACCCCCGGCGGCCGGCGGGTCCCTTCGCCCGGCGTTGGGTGATGTAAGGGGGTTATTTTCACTCCCGGCGGCGGCGCGGGCCGGGGAAAGGATGACTTCAACCCATTACTCACCCGCCGTAATGGCTTGGCACCGCTCCCGCGCTATTCCTAGCCGTGACGCTCGGCCCTTCGATCCCAACCTCCGCCACGCTCGGCGGCTGGCCGGCAACACTGGACTGGCCGTTCGCCGGGAATTTGGGCCTAAACGGTCAAAATTTAGGTTAAGGGGGGGTGATTTCGATAAGGAGAACGAGGCCCGTGGGGCACCAAGGGCTTTTGCAGGCGGCGAGAAGCGCGGTGGGGCGGTACGTGAGATGAGTTTGGCCGGTCTCAGCCCGCTCCGGCCCAGCTTTCGTGGAGCGACGCTGCGGTTTCTCGACAGCGCCGGGAAAGTGCCGCCCCCGCCACAAAAACGCCGTTAATGATTATCGCATTAAATGCGTAATTACAGCCCAGCCGTCACCTTCGGCTCCCCAAATTACTGGCGCAAAGCTCACCCGCCGCCTGGTTTGATGCAACACAGCTTGTTCGCGCCAGCCTGAGTAGTTCAGCCCCAAATCGGCTGCTTTTCACCCCAAAAGCCCCCGTTGTCTGCCCCCCCCACCCCTCCCGGTTTCCTGCGTTTTCGTAGCAATACCAGAAAAGGAGGAAATCACGTCAGCGGCTCGGCCGCGCTCGCGGTGCCGGGAATCAAATCCGAGCCGGTGAAATCACGGCCGGGTCACGCGGGGGGTCCGCACGTATACGGACACGCGTGTACTTTGCGCGTACCTGCCGCACACGCGGGTACCTGCAGGCACATAGAGGTACACGTGTGTGCCCACCAGCACTGCACCCCCAGGCAGAGGCGCCCACCCCCCACGTGTGTGCTCATCTCTTTGCACGTGCACACACGTGTGCGTGCGCAGGCGCCCACCTGTATGTACACGCCCGCACGTGCCTGTACTCACCCGCACACGCGTGTTGGCACTCGTATACCCCACCAGGAACACGCGTGCCCACCCTGGCACAAGCATTTTTACCCACGCGTGTGCCCCCCTTGCACACACACACCTCGCAGGCAAATACCCACTTTCCCCGATATATATGAACCCACACGCACACCTACACGCCTACGTAGCAATATACATGTCCACGTACACGCGTGTGCACACACACGCACACACACGCGCAACCCGCAGACACACGCACGATGAGCCGCAGAACTACAACTCCCAGCATGCCCCTCGCCAGGGGAGGGGGAACAACAACAAGCGGCTGGGTTATCCAATAGGAAGAGGGGGGCGTGGAAGCGCTAGCCAATAGGCGGAGGGGGGCGTGGCGGTACCGCCCCGCGGGCGCGGCGGGTAATCACATGGCGCGGCGGC